ACATCATGCCACCTCTGAAACGACCCAGGAAAACGGATTTCAATATCACTTACACTGAGAAGTTCACTGAGAGAAGTCAACATATAATTTCTACAGCAATCTGGAACACAGTTGGAAATTTTCAATTAAAATCAATGATTCTGTGAAACAGCAAGAAAGGGGGTTTTTTTTGTGGCTTGTTTCAAAACATATCAACTTTGTTTTAGTAAAAAATAGCATAAACCACAGGATTTTGAGAAAGTTCTTGCATGATCTGAACTTCATTACCTAAATTAGGATCAGCTGAGGTACTAACTGGGAATGAATGATGCCTTGCAAGACAAAGGAATGTCACTGATTCCTAATTACACAGTACTGCCTACAGTGATGTTTTTGTTGCTCTTTCAAGTGGCATCTTACAGCTTTAGAGAAAAATTAAGACAAGGAAAGTTGACTTCAAAAAGTTGTTGATTGAGTGGCTGCTACCAAGAGATTTGTTTCTGCCAGGCAGGCTAAGACTTGTTTTTCCAGGTCAGAAGCAGAGGTCTGAATTCTAAAACCAGAGATACCTTCCTTTAATAAGTAAGAAAAAGTCTATTAAAAGCCTATTGTTTTAGCATGGAGTACACATAATACTTAACATTTTCACATTTGATTGCAGATCAGCCTTCAGTAAACACTTCTAGTGGAGCTGGATAACTTTTTCTACTGGAGCTGGATAACTTTCAGTGCTGTGTCCTGCATGTCAGTAGCCAGTGCTCACATCAGGCACAGGTGAGGAGACAGAACAAAAGGCTGCAGTGCCAACACAACTACAGATAATTTTTCAAACAACTTCTCAACACTAAGGTTTATTTTTCTAATGCTACTACCCGCCAGGAACTTATTAACACAAGAATGAGCACCATCAGTGTGTACAGAGTAACTGAGCTCAGAAGAGCAGAGGAAAGAGCCCAGCTGGCTGATCAGCAAGGACAGACGGAAAGCCAGCCAGCCATCATCCTTCCTCTGGGGAGGGAGGCTGGACCAAAGAAAGCCTTTGGGAAGGGTTTGCCAGTACAGAAAGTTGGAAGCCCAATTGAAGCCACAGCCTGAAACATGCACACATACACACAGAGGAGCATGGAGCCACAGACATTCTTTAGGCCAAAGAAATCTTTATTTTCTCAGTTTGTCTGGGGTGGTAGAAAACCTATAAATGGAAGATAATGTATTTTTTGATAACTAGGATATCATGTGAATTATCTTCCCTGAAGAGGACAGGAAACAAACTTATTTGTTCATGTACCCACACACAAATTTTCTGCTTGTTATTTAAACAACCAAAGAGGCTGGTAACAGGTCTAGGGACCCACAAGATGCTTCTTCTCCAGAGACAGCAAGCGTGGGTACAAAACTCTCTCCAGGTTTCTCAACCTCCACGTGCTGCTTTTGCACAAAACAAGTCACTCTAACCAATCTCACTGTGCATTCTGCTTTGGCTACTTGCAAACAAGCCAAAGAACTTCAACTGTGATGTGAGCACTTGTTAATTTACAAATGGCTACAAAAGCTGTTGAAAGCAGCATGTGCAGCTTTGCAGTAACTATTCCTCCTTTTCATTTCATTACTTCTGCCATAAACAAAGAATATCCAGAGAGCTGCACAAGGTTACTGTCCCTCCTGTCAGTCAAGGGAACAGAACTGCAGTTAACTGCAAGGTTCTGAAATAAATAGGTTTTGACTGCTGAGATAGCTTTTAACTACAAGACCTGTTCAGCCATGGGCTTCTGACAGCTTTTTCCTTCCCTCTTTTTTTAAGCTCAAATTTAATCCAATCATTAAAATATTTGTTGAAGTGCTCTGTCTGCTTCGCAGCATAGCCCACACCACAGACAGAGTGATGGGTGACTTATTTCAGCAGGAATTTTTTTTGCATTCCTCCTGTTTTTTTTTTTTTATTTTGAATTGTTTGTGCAAAGATTTGGTAGGTGGAGCTTTTCAATTAATTGCAGCAGACCCGGCACAGGGTGGCACTCATGCTGTTCACTCAAAAATGTTAAAGATAAATATCATGAACAAACAGGAGTTTTCAACCTTTTAAAGGTTGCATCATTATTCCAAATTATGTTTTCAGTGATGAAATTAAATTCTAAACTAATTCTATTCTCATTTTGTTTATAGATTTTTAAAATAGTTTCTGAAAAATACATTAGAAGCATTGATCTCAGTGTGAATTTGACTACACTGATTCTCAACATGGGTATTTCTAAATTTTCAGGAAACCCCTACATTGTTCTCTTTATGCTGAAGTATATCAGAAGCACTGACATGGGAAGAAGCAAGAGAACTCCAGTAAGAAAGGCTATGCTGCAGCATTCCTTTCAAACCAAAGCAGAATGCATGGCAGCAGCAGCTGTGGCAGCAGCAAACCTTAGAGAGAAGAGAGTAACAATCACAGCAAGACTTTCTGTTGGATCTGTTTGACAAAACAGTTCAACTCTCAAGTACACAGATGCACGCTCACATCAGGGAATTAATCTAGAAACATAAATTCCAGGTGAGAATATGTGCTGCCAGCACCTGATTCTGTGCCTGGATTCAACCTCCTTCAGTATTAAGTCTGAAAAAGCACTAGAAGGGTCAATATCTTCCTTTTTTTTTTTCACAGTTGATCACCTAAAGGTACTTGCACATGAACCTACGTATAAACTCTGAAAGTCTATTTTGAGATCACAGAAAGTCTTTAAAAGGAAATTCACACACATTCTGACTGTTTGTAAAGAGGATGGGTATTTTAACCCTGTGACCTCCCCAGGAACACCTTTAGTAGCTGTGGAATAGATGGGAGTCTTCCTTTAGTATTACTGTATCATCTCTGATGCTGGTTTGTGGAGGAATTCATGAGCTCCTTTTCTACCTGAACACAGAAATCTAACTATTGTCACAGTGCTCACACAGTGCAGTGCTAGCAAAGGACTGGCTGCATTTAGATGACAGTATCAGCATCCCTAGAGTATCACAGAGTCTCAGGTTTGTTATTTCTCTGAAGGCATTAGTTCCTACAAACCTGAAATAATGCAAGAAGTCAGGACTGTGTGGACAAGGCAGTGGTGGGGAATGGACACGGAGTCTATAGGTGTCACTTCTAAGCAAAATTTCAAAAATGCAATTTCAGTTACATGCCCTTGAGTATCAAAAGGCTTGAAACACCCAGAAATATCTCAAGGTTTATTAAAACCTACAACTATTTTAAAACTCTAGATTACCTTTGTTCAAAGGTTCCTGATGATCTCTGCCATGGTAGAGCTTGCTCTTTTCTTTCTTCCCAAACTGTATTCACTTGGCAGAATGTGAGAAATGAGAGGCTTGTGGTATGTGCTTGTTCTCGAGCACAGGCAGCTAAGGTGACATTCCTGGCCACTCATGCTGCCATGCAATGGAGGAATCTCATGCACAGGTGAAAAACTGCTGAGCAAAGTACCTCTGAGTAAGTTGCAGTGAAACTGGAATGTATTCATGCATGTTTTGGAACAGATGGTTTTGTGCACTGCAGTCAGAGCAACCCTATCAAGCTGAAGGAAGCAAAAAGGCTGATTAGATTTTATTGCTTTGGTCAACAACACCAGGATCCTTTTCCTTGTGGCTCCTCTCAACAAGGACATTGCCCACTTCAAAAAATAAAGGAATACTTTTCCTCTATTAGGGCTATCAAAAATAGGAAATGCACACTTATAAAAACATGCTGTGAATACTCAGAAGGATGTGGCTGATGTATTTCACATCAAGAATCAGAGGAGATGTCACCAGGGTCTGTAACAGCCCCTCCCTTCCCCACACAGTTACTGCTACCTTATGTTTTTTTAATACTGATTTTAAAGTGACAATGTTCTTCTAGTATTTATTGAAATATTTTCATCACAAACAATAACAAGAGTATTTTCTCCATTACCTCTACTGTGACATGTCAGACAAAGCTGCCATGCTGTCTTGGGGAAGAATGGAGCTTTCAGGCCTTTTTTTTTTTTTTTTCACTCACTGTTAAGCAGAAGCATCAATACTGAGAAATGCCCTGCAGGCTGCACTAGGACTGCTACTATTTAATAACCATTACATTAAATTGTTCTACAATTTAAAAACTGGCAGTATGTTTTAGTTCCATGAAACCAAGAAAAAATCCCTCAGCAAGGTATATCACTGTCTCCTCAGTCCTACAGCCAGGCAGGACTAGCTCACCCTATACACACAGCCATGAGTTAAGAGCAGCCTGAGAACATCTCCAGACCTTCATAAGGCTCAGAATGGCTAAGTAGGGCATAATTCAAATGCTCTATGCTTAAACAGACTGTCACATGGCCATCAAAGGTGTTTTCTGGCACTGAGAAGGAAATTTAATTTGAGATGTATAGTACCAGTGATGTATTTTTGAAAATATTTCAGCTCAATGATTTGGACTTACAGGAGCAGAATCTGAACTTGCAAACAAAGCTTAAGAATCTCTGTAGAAAAATACATTCTAAGAGCAACTAAAAAAAAAAGGTGGATATATTTTTAGTACAGAGAAATTTAACATACCAAGTAATGACAGTGTTTCTGGGAAGGACTGTACCCACACTACAGGAAAGGACATTTTATTAAGAAAGAAAGTGCTTAGTTCTATAACTTCTCAGAGAAGCATGTGAGAAAGTTACACTTGCAGACTTCAACAAGGGGAGAGACTGAAAATGGTGCAACTTCTACCAGTAGAACTAGAAGCAAGCTTTAAATGCAGGTCAGCTCTAAGCATTCTGAAAGACAACACCTGACCTCTTTGTGAGAAAGTTACACATGCAGACTTCAACAAGGGGAGAGACTGAAAATGGTGCAACTTCTACCAGTAGAACTAGAAGCAAGTTTTAATGCAGGTCAGCTCTAAGCACTCTGAAAGTCTACACCTGACCTCATATTCTTTTGGAAACAGGCTGCTATTTAAAACACAGGGCAAACAAATCAGAAGCAAAAGAAATACCTCTCCAAATGGCTCAATAACTGCTACTGAACCTCTCAGCATGGAGGTGGGCAGAGTCCCCTGCTGCTGGCATCTCCCACCTTCCAGCAGCAGGATGGATGACTGGTCACTTGGTCCCAGTTCTCTGTGCTTCCAGCTGCTAGGCTACCTTAGAAGAAGAGAAAAAAATGCAGCAAATCCTTCCTAATATATATTATTTACATAGACAGCTTCTATTGCATTCTAAAAGTGTTTGCAGTCAGACAGAAATGGTGAAGAGATTTAGCCAGTCACATATGAGAATGGAAACAGTTTATCAGTGCATAGTGCAAATGACATCTAAAAACTCTCATTACTACAGAAATAAAGAAAAGTCAGATTTCACAGCCAACAACCCACTCACACTAACATAAAGAACTGATAAAGTTCCATGGTTTTCACACAGGCCAACTAATCACCTCAAATGCTAGGTCAGAACATCTCTTCCAGTCCTCCAAAACTAACCTCAAACTGTCTGAACACTTTTACAAAGCCACCAATTTCATCTCCTAATGAACACCAGTGAATGGGGAGAAGCAGACACCCATCAGTGATCTCACACAGCATGGAACACCTCTCCTCAGAGACCTTCCTCCATTTCTGGTGGTTTGTAGCTCAAAGCTGAACCAGGTGAGCTTGTCATGGACAGAGCTTCTCAGAGTCCAGCCCTACTCAGTATTTTTGTGTCAGCTGGATAATGTGACTGAATAGATTTTCCTTGAGTTTGCAGATGACAGCAAAGAGGCAGAAGAGAGAGGCAGAAGGGACAGATGAGCCACTCTTCAGAGAGATTGGACAGCCAGGCCAACAAGAATTGCAGGAGCCTTAGCAGAGATGAAGCCCTGCACTCAAAATGCAACAACGCCAAGCTGCAGCACAGGCTGCTCCATTGCAGTTCTACAATTAGTACACTTTAATTAGTAACATATCAGTGTAAGGTAAAAGGCACAGAGGCAGATGAACAAACAGACCATATATTTCTACCTCAAGAAACTGCATTGGGAAAGCAAATTCCAAACAAGTCTGGCAAAAAGTTTTATATATACAAACTGAAACGTGCCTTGAATCCCCCAGACAGAGTCAGTTATCTGGGAAAAATGACTCACAGCTAAAGTATTCCTATTATGAGAAGTCTCTAAGGGCATTTAGGATTTTGAATCAGAACTATTTGTAAACTGCAAACACAAGGTCAACTAATCAATAGCTTAATACTACAGATGAAACAAGCAGTGGTCCAAAAAATGAATAAACTGAAAAACTGAATAAATGCGTCTAACAGTTGGGAAAAAGCCACATCAGAAAATGCTTTGTATTTCACAAAGAAGTTTTTAATATACATTCATTATTGAAGCCTGATTTTAAAAAAAAACCCTACCTTCAGGATTTTTTTAGCAGGTACACTCCAGTAAACATTTTTTTTTTCACCCTCATGACATTAAAACATGTCCCATCAAGTCCCAGTGAGCAGAAGAATGCTTGATCAGATGTGTGTGCTTGGTAACTTCCTCAGTCCAAACACAAGACTTGGAAGAACACCTTTAAGACCTCTGCTTTTTGTGACAGCAGTTTAAACATGCAAAAATGCAGCTCTCCTGTTATTATTTTACTTGTTCAGCTGTACTTCTGAGTTTTCTAATGCAAATTTATGGCCCTTACTATTCAAATAAACACAGCTTTTGTCCTTCATTTGTTACACCATTCTAAAAAGAAAAATGTATTTTTCTAAGTTCTTTAAAAGCCAGTAGACACCATGTGTCAAAAAAGCTCAATAAGTAAATCCAAGTTGTTCCTCCCATACACAATGCACGAAGTAAAACATATCTTTAAAATATGTGAGAACAAAAATCTAGTGAATCTGGAAGAACTGGGAAAGCTGAAAAGCTATTTTTCTCCTTATATAGTATTAGAAGTTGTTGTCAACTACTGCTTCACTCTTAAAGATGCAGCTTTTCTACAAAAGTCACCAGAACAACAGAAGATACTCTGCTCCCCATAACCAGCCAAGTGGCTGCATCCACATCCTTTTTTTCTCTGAGATTTTCATGTGAAACATGTCCCCTGAGGTACCAAAGGGTTAAAGGTTTAGAGAATGCTTCAGCTATTGGAGCCATTTCCCCTGCCAGCTTGTTCTGGCTCCTCTGAAGCTGCAAGAAACCTCAGATTTTTTGCATCCTCTTGTTCTTCTCCAGACTTATTCCTACTTCAGTTGCATTTTGTTGAATTTAGTTTTCCACTTTTTCTTCACTTTTCTTTGCTTGCAGAAATTCTTCCTCAGCTTCTTTGGAGCCACACCTTCATTTCTAGCAGGCTTAGCTGGATTGCCTTTGGTTTCCATAGCTACTGGCCTTCCCTCATGGGGTGTGTCCCACTGTCCTTTCACCCCAGCCATCTACACACACAAGGGGAGAGAATTGATTAAAAAAAAAAAAACAAAAAAACTCAGAAAAGCAAACTGGAATTACCAGAATTAATCATCTTCAATCTGTATTAAGCACAAATATGTATAACTACACTCAGACAACTGCTTTCTAATTCATGTAGTTTCAAACTGACCCACAGGGTACAGCTGGTCTTCAGTCACCAGTCAGAAGTGACCAATCCTGCCTCTTCCCTGCCTATGTGCCTGGATTTCCTTCTGGCAGAAACCAAAGTGCACAAGGAAGTTAGGAATGGATGCATGACAATTTTGCCCTCATGTGAAGGCAGGCTGTGGCTAAACATGTAACTCAACCTACAAACCATCTCACAGTGCACAAAGCTGGGCACAGTCAGCACATGGCTTTTACACAAATGAGTAAGTCTCTGCTGAAGAAAAACAATGCTTGGAAATTTTCTTACTTTTAAAGGGCCATACTATCTCAAAAATAACAGAGGTGAGAGCAGGATCTTTGAGAAATTTCTAAAGCATGATAGGCATCACTTATTCACCAACATAAATTACAAAGTAGGATGGATTCCCAAAAGATTTCTGACCCCCAAAGATGACAGATAAACTATACCAGCTGTACCCCAAGGGACTGAAAGGGTTATTCCTAAACTGATCAGCTGATCTGCTTTGCCATCAAGTGAGATACTGACCTTCTGTTTCCACCCTTCCCAGGGTGCAGGTGGAAAGGTGCATGGAACTCTTCCATGAACTATGTGGTAGGGCAAAGGGAGGCTGGGGTCCAGGGGAACCCATGGCACTGAGAGAGTGGCAGGTACAGCAGGCAGATCACAGTGAGCTTTGTGCAAGTTATAGGATGACCTTGTGCTCTTGTCAAGAGAACTCTTGTAAATTGCAACTGATGAATCTCCTGCAGCGTGAGTCAATAAATAAGATCCCTCCTCCAAACTAAAATGAGAAAAGTTCCAAAGGAAAAATATTATTTAAATGTTTTTTGGAGCTTTTTTTTATTTGATCAGAATAGTTAATATGTTCTTAATGCAAAAGCAGAACATCTTTAGGTGTTTAGTCCCTTTATATGTTTTATAAAAAAGACTGTGCACAAGAAAGCATTAATGAAACTGTATTGATAAATATCTATTAATTAATGTGTCTATAATGTATTCATAATGTGCTAATTTATCAACAATGTAGAGACTGTCATCATATTCATCTAAGCATGTAAGCATACACTGAAAACCATCCATGTTGGGCAAACTGTAATTCCTTAATCAGCATCTTACAAGAACAAAGCCCATGTGGACACAGACACAAAGAACAGATGAGCTTTCACACCCACAGGATTAAATGGGTTTTCAGGAAGATGAAGATCAACCAACAGCCCATACCAAAAATCTTAGTCAAAAATCATGAACCTAAAAGAGCAGGAAAACCCCTCTGTAATTTGAATGAAAAGGCTTCACGCTCAGCGCAAGCAGCGCGCTTCACCAAAAAAATCAGGACACTGGCAGGCTGAAAGCTTTGAAGTAGCTATGTAAAGAAGGAGAAAGGCTGCAATGTTGTACAGAGACAGGCTGCTCTAAGTCAAGGTAAGCAGAAGGGAACACAGGGTTAATTCTACAAATCAAGCAGAAAGACTGCCAAACCCAAACTCTGTGTGTCAGCCCACATACATGATATTACACCTCACTCCTGTCAACTGTTTACTCAGCTCTTAAGAGTCCAGTTTGCTCTCTTGAAAAACTGGTTCACAAACCTCAAGTTCTTATTCTTTTGCATAATTTATGCAAACCTTGTAGTCCCAAGCACATTTTACACAGTACTGCATTATGCTATGACAGACCTAAGAGAACCTGTAAAATATCAATTTCTTTATGTATATGAAGAAATAAAAATCAGAGCAGACAAACATTCTACAGAAGAAACAGGATGAGCTGGGCAATGTGGCAAACAAATACAATAAACAAAAATTGAGAACTTACTCTGACACCTTCTTCAAAACATGATGAAGTATATTTAATGAATTTGCAGGTCTGTGAAAGAAAAACACAGCAAAAGTAGTCACTTGCAAGGCTTGTTAGGGCTTGAAATTCATTGCTAAAAAAACATACTAAAAATACTCACTTAATCAATCCAAGTTTTTCTCTTAAAGTTGCTGGAGAAATCTTTTCTAGCATAATAAGCTTTGATGTAAAAGCATCAATATGTCCTGAAAAACAAAACTCAATTAATACACTAAAAATAAAACCAAACAAATGTAAGAGCATAATTTGCAGACCTCTTTAGAAGGATAAAATATTTGCTCTTTTGGCATCGAACAGTGAAAAGTATTTATCAATGTTGCACCATAACAGAGAGTTAAAATGTGCAGCTGCTTTAAGTACAGGCATCTGTACCTTGACTGCCTTTCCAAACCAAGAGATGCCTGACTCCAGCAAAGCTCACATCTTGGGTGGTGTGTGGGATACACAACCTTATCTTGCCATGGCCTTCATCTCATCAGTTAGTTTATATCTGCTCAAGTTCATTTGACCCTTATCACTTTGCTTCCTCACTGGACAGATCCCAAAAGCTGATGTTTAACAACAAATTTACTTTTGCATTTAATATACTTGCTTTTCTATTCTGACCTATTGCATGACTTTCTTCTAGGGATGCTGACCTTTGTGTCTTGATTCTTCCCCCCTTCCTCGCCTGAGGAACTACAATTCACAACTCAGGCAAGTTGTCTTTAGCAACTTTGTCTTTGACACCATGAGAAGCAACAATTCAAAGCTCTCCTCATCGCATTTTTAAAATAAAGGCTGCCAAGGACAGCTTAGCCCACATTTAATTTGATGAGCAATAAGGATCACCAGCATAGCTTGGACATGGATTTGACTGCTGTACCTTGCCTTCTGGTTCTTTCTCATGCTGAAGTCTTCCAGGAATCTATTCTATTTCAGCTCCCAGAAGGAGTTTGAGGAAAAGGCAGCATAATAAAATACAGCCTACTCAGTGGAATTTACTGTCTTACTATAAATCTGCTCTCTTAGGAAGTGTAAATGCTTCAATTGCACAGTTAAAACTGCTAAATCAAAGCATTTCACATTCCAAGCTATCCATCACTAAGTTTATGTGTTGTGTAAGAAGACTAAGTAATAACTCTCACTTCAACAAATTAAAAAAGATGCACCAGGACAATCGATTTCTTTTAAACATTGTACATTTGTTACTTTTCTTGATATCAGTATTTTGTGCAAGACTAAGCAGCAAAATGTTGTATTTTACATTGCTGACTACAAAAAGAGGCTTGAAGTCATTATTAAAAATATAATTTAAACAAAACCTGTTTGAGTTCCATATTCCTCACCAGCCTCTCTTCAAATCAGAGTTCTCTACTTCTAAACACACTGGGAAACATAAAACACATTCCTAAATGTAACTGGGAAAAACTCAGTAATTCCAAAATATCTATGAACTACTTCCACCTAGTTTATACAACTGTATCTTACACTCAAGAAGTGACAGATTGAAAATACTTGACATGTATTAAGTTACCCAAGACCAGGTATTTTTTTTCCAACCCATTCTTCAAATGATGTTCATTTAAAGGCCAATATTATTCCATTCATGTGAAGGTAAACCGTTCTTGCAAAAAGTTTTGCTTAGGCACTTAATGCAAATAAGTGAGTAATAGCCAGGATAAAATGCTCCTATTAATCAGTAAAGCTTATCTACAGTTTATTTACTGCTTAGACAAGTACAAGTGCCTTATTTGGGAAGCTTGTCACAGAGATTACTGCCTTTGCAGATACAGGATTTCCTATCTGAGCAGCAAGAGGACTTCACAACCAAGCCAGGTGCTTTGCTAGCAAGAGGAAGACAGCGCTCTTTGTTTGATGATAGTATCTCTGCTTTTTGAGAACATCCTAAAAAAAACCACCTCAGCTTCATTTCCCCCCTGCAGCTGCTGCAGGAGGCCATGGTTACACATCAGATTTCTGACTCAAGCCCTGAGTCACAGCAGAGCTGAGATCCTCCCTCTGTCACACACAACAATGCTGGACAATTATGGGCCATAGACCAAGGTCCAAACAACTTTTCATTCATACTTACTTAGCAATAGAAGAGATGGTTGAGACAGCAAATTAAGCTTTTTCAAGAGTCAAAAACACCTATGCAGTTTAACACTGAGGTCTGCTACATACTTAAAAGTTAAAGGCTGAACTGTCTGATCAAGAGTGCAAGTTGTAGGTACTGTGTTAGTAAGATGATACTTTTCAAACCATGTTGTTCCATACTTCCACACTCATACTGCAAGGTAAATTTAAAAAGAGCAGTAACTTTATGGCTTGAAAAAAAAGCTTGATTTTAAAATTCTTTTATTACAGAACATAGCATTTCACTTAAAATAATTCAAATCATAGCATGATTTCAGAAGCTCCCTGCCTTTCTCCTTACACTGAACAGATCACTGCAGAAGTCTTAGGTACTAGTGACAGGGAATGAGAGATTCACTCCATTTTAAGTTGCCCATTATACAAGGGTATCATCACCCTCAGAGAACTGTCCCTGGAGTTTCAGGACAAAGGTCTCTGCTGCAAAGAGCCCTCTGAGTAAATCTGAGTGTAACACTGCATTTTTCACAGCTCCCTTAGGAATACAAACTGAAAGGCAGAATTTCACAGCTACCTTGCAATATACCAAGAGCAGAAGACACCCCAAGTAGAATATGATAACAGCTTCCTATTAAAAACTGTGGTAGATGCCCTTTCTTAGAATGGATATTTACTTGCACATTTTTTAGTAAGATGATACTTTTCAAACCATGTTGTTCCATACTTCCACACTCATACTGCAAGGTAAATTTAAAAAGAGCAGTAACTTTATGGCTTGAAAAAAAAGCTTGATTTTAAAATTCTTTTATTACAGAACATAGCATTTCACTTAAAATAATTCAAATCATAGCATGATTTCAGAAGCTCCCTGCCTTTCTCCTTACACTGAACAGATCACTGCAGAAGTCTTAGGTACTAGTGACAGGGAATGAGAGATTCACTCCATTTTAAGTTGCCCATTATACAAGGGTATCATCACCCTCAGAGAACTGTCCCTGGAGTTTCAGGACAAAGGTCTCTGCTGCAAAGAGCCCTCTGAGTAAATCTGAGTGTAACACTGCATTTTTCACAGCTCCCTTAGGAATACAAACTGAAAGGCAGAATTTCACAGCTACCTTGCAATATACCAAGAGCAGAAGACACCCCAAGTAGAATATGATAACAGCTTCCTATTAAAAACTGTGGTAGATGCCCTTTCTTAGAATGGATATTTACTTCCACATATTTTTTTTACCTACTCTGTAAGAAACTATATGGCAATAGCAAGGATCTGCCCCACAGGCTGGGAGTACCCATTTACTGTGCAGGACAGTGACAACCCACAGAATCCTGTGCCTCTTCAGAGCCCACAAAAGAGAACTCTTGTGTGTCCCAGGGCCTGCTTCTGGAAAGAGTGGATCCAGGAGCTGACAAACAAACATGACTGGAATACCCAGTGCTTCTCAATCCCAGGGATACTGTATCCCAAGCACTGGAACAGAGATGTGCTGGAGGCCAGGCCAGTGCAGCCCGCCAGCCCAGGGCACTGCCCATTCCACAGCCAGCAGGGACCTACAGGAGATACACAGAGGAAAGCTGTGCTGGAAGGGGAGGGCTCTGTGGCTCTTCATCTGAAACAACACCTGCATACCCAGCCTGCTGTCTCCTACATTCCCAAGAACCTCCATAAAAAGGGGTGGTGGCTGGATGAGCTGTCTGCAAAGTCCTGTGCACACTGCCCATTCCACAGCCAGCAGGGACCTACAGGAGATACACAGAGGAAAGCTGTGCTGGAAGGGGAGGGCTCTGTGGCTCTTCATCTGCAACAACACCTGCATACCCAGCCTGCTGTCTCCTCCATACCCAGCCTGCTGTCTCCTCCATACCCAGCCTGCTGTCTCCTCCATACCCAGCCTGCTGTCTCCTCCATACCCAGCCTGCTGTCTCCTCCATACCCAGCCTGCTGTCTCCTCCATACCCAGCCTGCTGTCTCCTCCATTCCAAAGAACCTCCATAAAAAGGGGTGGTGGCTGGATGAGCTGTCTGCAAAGTCCTGTGCAAGCCATACCTTCAGCATCCTGTAAATGGAGATTAGATAGACACCCACTCCTCCACTTTGTGTACTTTGCAAACATCAGCCCTCTCTCCACAGTTCACTGTTTCCTCACACTGCTTGCCATGCTGGAAATGTTAATAAAAACTTTGATACCATTTCCTACAGGAAGCCCAAGTGCAGTGCAGCTCAGCATGCTGGACATACCCTCAGTGGAAATACACAGAATGCACTCAGTGTAGTGCTCTGCTTGCTAGAGAGAAGCAAGGCCTCTGTCCTGTACATTAAGATACAGTTACAAACAGAGAACTCTCTACATAATTAGCTCTTTGTAAGGATTTCTTTTCTAATGGAATGGAAAAAGCACATCAAACACTGCTTTTAAAGTTTAAAATTAGAAACATAATTTCCATTGAATAAAGAGAGCAGACCAAGGTGCAATTGGCAAATACATTAGATTTCAATTAGAATCCTAATAATTCTATGGTAGCTTGCATAGTTTGTATGTAGAAACTGGAAAACAGAGAAGTTAGCATTTCTAAAATAGCATTCTGATGTGAGCCAACAACAGCAGAAGTGTAATTCAGTGCACAAGTGGAAAGGTTAGGCAACCACAGGCCACAACTGCTGCCATAACAACCTGAAAACCCAGATTTGTTTCTACAAAAAAAGCAAGGCAATCCCCACTGCAGAACATTCACTCACTGTACAAACAGGATTGCCCTCACTCAGTAGCATGTGCCAAGCATATTCTAAATATCAACTAACCACCTGGCTGCAAATTTTCCTTTTTAAAATCTTATTAATGACATGATAATTAGTAACAGAAAGCTCTCCATATATTAAAATGGTTGTTAGAGTAATCTGGTCACATTTTTATATGTATAATTTTAATTTCCTTACACAACAAATATCTCAACAGACATAAAAACGTCCCTGACTTTTTAAAATGTCATTGCACAAACATGAATACAGCATTTTCTACAGGACATGGATATTATTTATCTAAAATCAAAGCTGGAACTTCCTCATCCAACACCCAACAGAACTTTTAGACGAAAAACTTACTGAAGGTAGATGTGAAAAAACAAAATTAAAAAGTTAAAATAAGAAAGGATATATGGAATACACCTTTAATAAATACATATCTCTCCTGTTATTCTACAAATATTCACACATCCATGTGTCTTAAGCAAAAACAACACATGAACTTACCAATATAAAAGAAGCATTTGGAATGCAGCATACTCTGTGTCCACAGCTGGCACACTTCACTTTCTGTAAGAGCTTCCACACCGTAGTAGGCTTGGTACCCTAGTTTTGGCAACAGGAAAATGGGAATTGGCTGAAAAAGAGAAGATAAGAGAAAAATTAGCACTCACTGTCTAAAAATATCCACAATTTAACTGCATTTTGTAGTTTATAGCTGAAACAGTCCTCCACCATAGCTGAGGCAACAAAGACATTTCAGAGATTTTGTTTGAAGGTTCACGATTTATGAAATCCACAGCACAAACTTCAGAGTACAGAGACTTTATACAGAAAAAGGTGAAATTCACAGGAAAAAAAAAAAAAAAAAAAGAAACAACAAAAAAAAAGGCCTGGGCAAACTCTTACAAATAATACAGTTCTGACACTTAGTAATTTTTCCATGTGACTAAATTAATTTCAAGTTTACACTTCTGTGCTCTACTGCCCTCTGCAGCAATTTAAGAAAAAACACACAACATTTCTAATTAGCCCATTATTAGCAGAATTCTGCCATTTATCATTCCTATCAGAATCTCACTTGAAATTAGAACCTAAGGCTTGGAGTCTCATTTGAAATCAGAGGCTACCCTAACTAGTGAGTTAACCCTAATGAGCACTGTCAGTACTCACTGACAATCCACACTTAAATGTCATCAGAAATTTTAAAAAATAAACAAGTGATTGGTTCCTAAATGATGAAGCAGTTATTCCCAGACATTATAAGCAGTCAATCAACAGCAAAAAGATGGGATTTCTTCAAAATAAGATTTTAAGCACAGACTCTTGCCAAGTAATCAGTGTTACAATGATTATTTCCATTTCAATAAAGCACAAACACCTCACAAAACAGCTGCCTGCTGTAATTCTGGGATTCTCAGGAGGAACATACCACTACAAATTTGCTGAATGATTCACAGGACTCTTAAAAAAATTACAAATTACCCAGAATTATGGAATAAAGTTTCCTTCTCTTCATGCTGCAAGGAGTATTTTGATTGCAGTTGCATTCAAACCATTTAATTCCATGAGATAAACTATTTGCTAAGAAATGCCACAGTATTTTCAAGTAGAACAAATAGAATCTCTGTTGGTGTTCTCTGTTATCCATTTTATCTCTATTTCCCTGCTTAACTAGGCATGATGGCAAGGCTGAATCCTACTTGAAAGTATTTATGGTCACGAACATTCTCAAAGCCTTAGGCCAAACCCCTAATTCCTCCATTAACTTTTAAGAATAGTTCAAAATTACATTTTTTTACATAAGTATCATTACCCAGGCATATTACTGTAGTAAAAAATGGAGAACCACACATCCTTATCTTCTAATCAAGTAGCTTTAAAGAAATCACAAGTTACTCTTCCCTGTCTTGCTACAGCAAATATTTACAGAAGACATGCTGCAGAGTCACAATTGTCTCAGTGAAAGCATAAATGCTATCCAGGACTGGGAATCCCAGAAATGCCAACATTTCAGAATTGAGCACAACTGTTTAAAAAAAACCAAACCAAAAAAAAAGCTGAAAATAAAAGCTTTACCTTTTGGGCTTTTTTCTTTTTCTGGTATTGTGGCAGTGACTTGACTTTCTGCACGCTGCAACGCACGAGTAACAACAGATCATTCAAACTGAAGAGCTTGTACACAACATTGCCTTCCTCAGGTGCTTGGTACTCTGAAGGGTCTTCTTCAAGCAGCTGAAGTTCACTTGGCAGCTTTGCTAGAGAAAATGAATTAACCAGAAAATGTCAAGCTTGAACGATTTTTACAATGAAGCTGATTACCTTTGTTCCCTTGCAGTAGAGTTTTTGTTCAGGTTTTTTTTTTTCAACTCTAGGATCTGTTTTGTTTCCCATGAATTAGGGATGAAAACTACTTTGTTAGGCACAAAAAAGTCACATACTAAAAAAAAAAATTACATTTGGGAAACATTCACTCTTTAAGAGTATATTTTTAAATAATCCCACATCATTAGATTTCTCACACAAATAGAGAGAACTCCAAATGTGAGACTCCATTCTTGTATAAATGTAGCTCAAAAGCTTCTTTTTAAGCCACTCAGCACAAAGGAGAGAAAAACTTTATTTACAATGAATGGCTCCTGAGAGCTGCCATCCATCCATCAGGCACTGAAGTAACTCAGGTCTCAGGTCAGGGTGGCAGCACAACTCTCCCACCACACGGAGCTCAATCAGGACACAGCCACATTCAAGAGGGGCTACTGCATCTCCCAGGGCAGCTTTGAGTACATCAACAAACATCCCTCCAAACCTTAGAAACATTTTAACCAAATGTTTCAAATAAACACAGTAGCCTCCAAATTGGTTTGCTGAAAATGTATCTAATGCTTTCTTTTTTTGCCCTGAAGATATGTGGAAATATGTCTCAAAACCATACCTACAAATAGGGATTCCTGTAGTGCTATGAACAAATACATTTTTATCATTAAATTTAGAGTTTATGTGCCTGCACACTGTGGGAGATATCCAAGGAAGTGGAAGTAATTTTCTGTTAGTAAAATATAAAACCCAAATCTGGGTTTGTGCAAAATAGACATGCAAAGAGATTTCTCAGCTTGCTATAGAACTTTCAAATTGTAGAATTATGCTTTCTATTCCTACACAGTCACTTGTCAGCACATTGGCAATATTGGTTTCACAATCTCTATTAAAAAAATTCTATTACAGGACATCTGAATTCTATACTCCATCTTTTTAACACAGAGAGAAATAAAATGTCATGCCTTAGCCTTTCAAACTGAGGGAGGAGACAGGGTCGTAGTGATTATGCAGTTAAAGCAATAAAAATGTAGGAAGTGATAAGACAATTTTAAGTAAAACAGAATTAATTGTGTTACCCTATAGATTAAGTAATTAATTCCTACATGATCAAATGCACACCTCCTCAGAAAATACCAAACATCTTTTCCCACCAAAAACACAGATTTGTTGGAATTAAATATTTGAGAAGAGTATCTGTCCTGACACAACCAATCTGGTTTTCTGCATATTTATCTAACACAATGCAGTGTTTCTAACTTCAGCTGTACAGAGTTCAGAAGCAACCCAAGCATGTGAGGAAAACCTCCAGGGCCATGGTCCCCAGGATCTTCACAACTTGTAATTCTGGGCTAAGGTCCAGGGGCAGCACAGACTCCATCCCCAGCTAATGGTCTGAAAACTTGGAGAGGTGGCTTGTAGTGAATCCTCATTTGCCTTCTGGGACAGAGTGCTGGGAGTTAAGCAACAGCAACTGAACCAGGAGGCTCAAAACTTAAGACATACAAATTTAATTTTCCCCCTATTTTTAATTGTATAATTTAGTTTTTATTCTACAAAAAATTAAAGTAATTCTACTTCTGTTGACAAGAAACTACTTTTGCAGACTAGACTACTCAAATATTTGAATTTCCATGCAAAAAGAACTCATTCCACTACCAAATGATGTCTCTTCTTAAAAACCTTGTGTATAACAACTTATTTCTCTACAGTAAAACAGTATTTCACATTCACCTCTGTGGACAAACAGTGCTCCCTTCTGTGTGCAAGACAGTAATTCCCACACAGAAGAGGTACTGAGCCACATCTCCAAATAGATGTAAGAGATGCACTACTGACACGTTGGGTTCAATTTTCCTCCTTACACAATGAGCACACTTACTCTTTGGCATCCCCTCAAAAAGCCACGTCCAGGTATTTCTAGAGGAGCCGGTGGGATTGGAGGCTGGGGCTGGCACAGTTTCTGTGCTGGAGGTCACCAGTGTTTTTGGAGACTGAGGCAGCTGGGCTGGGACAGCATTAGGAATATCACAGCTCACCAGTGGTTCATGAGCTTTTTGGGAAGGGGACTTGAGAAGTTCAGTTTGCATTTTCAAAATTTGCCCGACAGGATCCAATTCTTTGGATAACTTTCTTGGAGGTTTCTTGGAGGCTTTTTTCCCCTGATCTGTGGTATCTGAGCAGTCAGTGATCCTTGCTGAAGGACTCTGGGTAGGGCAAGGAGCTCTGGCAGTCTCTGCTGAGGTAGAGGAAACAGTGGTTGGCACAGCTGGTTTGCAAGCAGCCGTGGCTTCACAGTCTGAATCGATCACCAAACGCTCTTCATCCGTGTCACTGCCACATAAAGAACTGTAAGTCTCTTTTTTCTGTGCAGCATCAGGCTCTTTCTCAGAGCTCACTGCAACAGGTAGAGCATTTAATTTTGTTTCACTGTCCAATACTTCCTTGGTCATGACATCCTGTGCTTTGCTCAGTCCTACCTCCACTGACTGAAAGCTTTCACAGGGAGAATGTTCTTGAGGGCTGCAGCATGGGATGCCATCCAACGATGGAAGCTGCACGCTGGCACGTGCTGAACCTTCTTGCTCAGAAAGGGTGGTTTTCTCTTCTTCATCTCCTCTGTTTATGGCAGATGAATTCTTTCCCCCCATTTTTAGGCCGTGAGATAAAACGTTAGCAGTGTTACTAGATGTAGGAAAAGTAGTTTCCATTTTACAAGTTCTTGAGAGCTTGGTTGTTGCTCCAAAAGTCTCAAGCTCTGTAACATCATCATCGAAGTCCATCCCAGTGTCATCTGGAGGAGGAATTGTCCTGCACTGGTAGGTGTCAGAACACACCTTACCACAGGGATGAGAAAGTAATAAAATTAAAAACCACCAAAACAATAAAACAAACCAAAAAATGAGACACTGCTGAACTGAAAACACAAAAAATGTTCTACCATCCATATACCTGACTGTTAGGAAAGAGAAGCAGTAATTGAAAAAACATTTTTCTTATTTAGTGATGAAATTTTGGTCCTATGAATTGAAAGACCATTCTAAAGAGTAAAAGTTCACAAAGCTTCTTCCAATGAAGCAAACTGATCAAAAGACATTTTAATGAATTACACATTAAAGCTGAGATGCCTATGTAGAAGCATTTAAAGGAACTAGACAGACATTTTCTAACAGGGTCTAAATCAGCAAGAGAAAAACCACCAAGAGAAAACCGGAATTTCCCTTCATCACAGGAAAAGCAACTCAGGAATTTTAACACAGGTTTTTGGTTTTGCTTGTTTTTAAGAATATGTGAATATACATACATCCCACTGAAGCAGGTTGTCCTCAGCTGGTTTGTCCATGGATACATTAGAAACTGGAACATAAGATGTTTTAGTTGCTAGGAAATCCATTGGAATTTCATGGAAGATTTGATTCCTCTCTCGTACTGTCATTTCTTTTCTCAGCAGAGGTGGATCAACATAAACCACTTTAGCTGGTTTGCTACCTTTTCAAGAATGAAAAGAGATTGAGTACATATTAAATGAAAGGAAGAAATACTGTTGTGTAATTCAAATAATAAATCTTTCAACTTCCAATTACAGTCAAATCCACTGCACACACACACCAGAAGAAATGAAAAATGATCCTTTCATTCATTAACAACAGAAGATAAAAGTATGTCCAGATATGGTGTGAATTATTATGATCCTGCAGCAGCAATACACACCACATTAATAGCTGAACATATTTCAAATGCAGTTCTAAGTAGAGAATTTGTAAAATAAGAACTGAGGATTCATCATTTCCTGTACAGACTCATATCATCAAATGTATCTTGCTTTCCAAAAATACCTTTTCTACTTCCTTGTTTGAAAGTCAATTATTTTTTTAAGTCTCATTGTCCAAGTGATAGCTGCAGTTTATCTCTCCTCTGATCAGTTAACTCTGTGTGGGCTCTGCTGCTCCACTCCTCTGTTTGCACCTTAACACACTTGTACACATGAATTCCCCAAAAATAAAAGCAATGCCCTGCCCATCACAGCAGAGAAAGCCAAGGCACATGGTGAACACGGTCTCCCTGTTTTATGAACAAAAGTAAATTAAAGCAAGGGGTTGGTTTAATTTAAGAGCAAAAGGAAGGCAGAGGGAAACCCTTCAAGAACCACTATGTATTTCTACCAGCATCTGAATGCCCTTCAGGTGTTAATTTTGGTTTAAAAACTGTAATGCTGCTACAAAAGGAGTCAGGCATTATCTTTACTGATAAAGTCATTTAATTTACATAGAAAAGTGAAAATTCATAAATGTTGCAGGTATGTCATAGCTTATTTATGATCTGCAAGTCTGCTATAGAAACTTGTGTAAGAAGCACAGAAGGACATTCCAACACAACAAACATAAATACTTAAATAAACCATACTGTGTTTAAAACAAAAAAGTGTCAAGGAGGAAGTTTATATTCAGATTACCGAAGAAGTGCTGGACAAGTAAAGTAAAGCAGTCAGGTGAGTTCATCAGCTTATTAAAATAAACATTTTCTGCTGTAATTGAAAAAGTTATCTTCATGGAAATATTCCTTATTTACTATTCTATGATATAATTAGATCCTTTTAATTCCAGAAAATGTTTGCTCTTTGCTTTTTCATAAAATTTCAGAATATCTCTGGTTTTTTATTTTACTGAAATCAGTTCACTTGACAATTTTAACAGGTTCATGCAGTTATATTGTTTCTAAGAACAAGAAGTTAGAGTCTTGAAAAGCCAAACTGGTTTTAACTGGTTTTTTGTTCTGGCTTTTTTTCCCCAGGTGGAAAACAGCTGAATGTCCAAATTCAACAGTTTATGGTGGTAACTGCAGAGGTTGTTACTATTCTCAGTAACAAGGTGGAAAAAGGTATAGGAAACAATATCCAGGGATCCTGGATCAGCTTTCCAGCTTTTTTTGGGCAATCCCTCCCCATAGTTTTAATAACAAAATCATCCCATACCTGCAACAGTGATCATTTTAACACAAACTGGAATTTCCCACTGTTCCTTGTAGTTCAGTCCATGATTATTCAGTAGAGTAAATAACGACTGATCACTTAAAACAACTTGAGGACAATATTTCAAAGCAAGTTTTTCTGCATTTGAATCTGAACTAATATCCTAAAGAGAAAAAAAAAAAAAGTTATTTCTTCCAAAGTTATTTAAAAAAAAATACATATAAATTTAAATTTACAAGAGAAACTCCAAACCCAACCAAAAATGGATATAATACAACTCCTACCCCCCAAAAAAGTTCAAAGTCTAACAGTGCCAGACTTCAAAAGGAAATGAAAGAAAAAAAAAACTTCCCTGAAGGTTTTCAGCTGAATCTTATGCATTCACTTTGCAGCATAAGAAAATACATCTTTTAAACTTGTATTTTCAGTTCATTTCTATACATTTGAATTACCAGGTTGAATAGGAATTTAGATAATCACAAAATATGGGAGAATGCAGAAGAAAAAAACATTCCCCAAACCAGATTAACTCACAAATATACACTACAGATCTTCTTATGAGTTAAGCAACAGCACAATAAAGACACCTAACACTGAACTATGGTTAAAACTGCCCAGTTATTTCAATACTGATTAGATCCAAAGAACCTTAAAACAAATATAAAACCATCAAGAATACAAATTCAGAATTGAAATAATAAATTTGTTAAATTTTACAAGTACACATTTCCATGAAGGAAAGAGGCTGAGACTGCTCATGAGGCTGAAGAACATCATCAAGGACTATGAAGATAATGGGAGCCCAGGAGCACTGAGGACCATGAGAGAAGTAAGAAAAACCCAGTATGTTTTTTTTTCTGACACCTCAGACATCATTAGAAGGGCTTTGTTTAACATCTTTGAGGCTTATACCATTCTCCTGCATCACCTCTGCTCCTTTCCTCAGCAAATGTCTCTGAAATGACAGTGCTGCTGTTGAAAGATAAGTGAATAAACTCCTAAAAATAGCTGAAGAAAAGTTATGTGGCATAAACAGTCAAAACCCTCAGTTCTACAGAATGAAAACTCCCTGATTTTTGCAGTAGAAGAACACAAACAGAAATAGCAGCTATTTAATGGTCCAATGCAGTCTAAAAACTGTTCAACACATAAAAAGGTTCACATTGCACTTCTGTACAAAATATGCCTTAAAAATAACAAAAAAGAGGTACTTACATGATGCATCACATGAGCCCTTTTTTCTGGGGTTATCATAGATGTGACAGTGCTATAATCAGTGGGCAGCTGAACAGGCATGGAAGGGAAATCTGTTTTACCACGTCTTGCTGTACCCTGGGGGAAACCAAGCAGCATCAAAAAACAGCTTTCACTGCAATCACGCTCATCCAACACTGTATTACTTATGAAGAAAAATATTTGAAATTTACATAGGTCCATTATAAAGTTAAGTGATATGAGAAAACATACTATTAATGTAATCTTTTTCTGGCAAACATCTGGTGAAAAGAGTTAACAGACTCACTGCCAAAATAATTTTATTAAAGTTTTAATTAATAATTTGAATTATAACCCCTAACTCATGAACTGGGTAATAGTTGCAAAACCCCCTAACCCTTGCCTAAGACAACTCTGATGTAATTCTGCTTACTTAAAAACCCCCACAAACCCAATCTGTGTTCGTAAGGCATTACCATTGCAAGAAGATTTTTTTCCAGCTTAAAGGTCAGCTGTGTATGAAACTTTCCTCCCATGATACTCATGATCTCCTGCAGGGTGTAAAACTCTGGATACTTCTGCACATGTCCAATACGTGCCCGTAGCAATTCCTAACATAAAAAGAATAATAATTTATGCATTTGTATCTTTCATAAGAAAGGGGGATTTTGGGGGAATTTTTGAAAAGTTTTTTCTGCAATTTCAAGCTGCATTTAAAAACTTAATAGGTACCAATAGAGATCTATAATACTCTCACAATCACTGCTATGTGAACTGCAATATATTCCAGATTCTCCTCAGCCCTTCATAAGCAAGGCTGACAACATATGCACACAACTCAGGCCAATCATTAAAAACATGCAGTTCAGTACAGTCTGAAATGTGCTAAACAGGTAATTTTCTTTTTAGTTAATTTTCTTGGCTTTTAGAGGAAGCAATATTTTTTATGTTACCATCCCACTTACACTAGGCAAAAGTCACAAAGGTAAAGGCACAGGATGATTCCATTTGTGTTGAAACTCACTGCCGAGTCAACTCTACATAATTTTTACAACACCTGAATTAAGTATTTAGGATATTTAGATTTTATTTAGTAACTAGAAAGTGTTATTTCTGCAAGTTGGTTAAAACAAAATATGGGCCTCAATTTTTAAGTCAGGGTATTAACAATAAATAGGACTTAAAGTCTGGAGACACATTTTGCGACCAGATGACAAGATACAAAATTGCAAAGCCAATCTCACTATTTAGAGGCAAAAAAGAACCCCAACCCCTCCCCCCCCCCCAAAAAAAACCAAAAAACACCAAAAAACAAACAAACAAAAAAACCAAAAAAACAAAAACAAGCAAGATGTTTATCTTCACATGTGCCCAAACTCTGTGGTAACTCACTAATGGGAAAGTTTAATGAACTTTTTTTCAAAACTGTGCTATAAACCCAAGAATGATGCATGAAGTTGCATTCATATTTGATCTTAGAATCATCAAAGTGGATATTTAACACAGCATGAACTTGCAGAGGGTTATGATTAAAGCCTCAGTAAGTTCCAATTAAAGTCACTTTCTAACATGCTACTTAGCTTGCCTGTGGAGGTAAGCTTAACATTCTGCCCAGTAGTAGGAGCCACTTCAAACAAAAAACAAAACAAAACAAAACAAAACAAAAAAAAAAAAAACAAAAACAAAAACAAGCAAGATGTTTATCTTCACATGTGCCCAAACTCTGTGGTAACTCACTAATGGGAAAGTTTAATGAACTTTTTTTCAAAACTGTGCTATAAACCCAAGAATGATGCATGAAGTTGCATTCATATTTGATCTTAGAATCATCAAAGTGGATATTTAACACAGCATGAACTTGCAGAGGGTTATGATTAAAGCCTCAGTAAGTTCCAATTAAAGTCACTTTCTAACATGCTACTTAGCTTGCCTGTGGAGGTAAGCTTAACATTCTGCCCAGTAGTAGGAGCCACTTCTTAATGGAAGTGCACAGTTAAAATGCAGCTTCTCCTTTCCTGAATACAAGGAAGCAATTTATTTATTTGATGAATAAATATTTTTGCAGTGACTTCTTCTAGGACATCTTTTTGGCTCCAATGAAGCACAGGCCCAGCCCTGCTGTGCAGCACAGGGGAAATGGCCACTTGCCCATCCCATCCCAAGAGCAAGCAGCAGGGCAGGGAACAGCACATCCACGAGCACTTCCACCTGTCCTGACCATCATCCCAAGATGGTTTTTTAACAAGGGCTGGAATTAAGCATGGCACTGCTAATTACCTCGGTGTAACGCAGGGCATCTTCAGAGATGGCATTGTAATCCTGGGCACAGCTCCTGGCAGCGTTTTGGGCAAATTTCATAAATTCTGCAATTTCATTGTTTACTACTTCTTTCATTTGCTGGGGGAAGGAAAAATCTATTTTTAAGACAAAACAGAATCCTCTGTACTAGACATGTAACCAACAAAATTTCCAGAGAGACAGTACAGGTAATGGTATGAGGGAAGGAATAGATTCCACTTGCTACTCAATTTGACAAGTGTTCAGTTTCACTTCAGTAAAAAAATTTTTTGCAAGGCCCATTTCCTTTAAAGAAATCCCAAATCAAGAGTACACCATCCCAAACAAACAGCAAGTTTCCTTTGATACAGTGATTTATAAATAGAGGGGTTACAAGACATGGTTGATGAAGTTTACAGGGCAAAGTCACAAAGATACCTGACTTCTGATTTCATGAGAAATTATAAATAGTAACAACACAGCAGTTACTGATGTGCCTGGAAACAATATTTCCATTGTTACAGCATAAAAATAAATGAAGCAGCATCAATAAGGAAGCATGGGAAACCAAATGCAACGGCTCAGCACAATTTGCTGATTAATTACATTTTCCAGGACTCAACATGAAGGTGGCCCATTCCCACACACAGCAGGGGGAACTCAGCCTTTCCCCCGTGAGCACAGCAGGGCAGCACACAGGAGCCTGCCCTGCCAATGAACAAAGCTCCCACAGCTGCCAAAGATCACAGCCAAGTGGATCCACAGCCTAACACTACCTGGGCCTGCTACAGCCACTAGGAAATGCTAAAATCACAGCAAGGACAACTATTTACTTCCTCCTCAGAAAAGGGTTTTTTTGGGGACTGCGTGGCTGTTTGGTAGTACACCATCCCAAACAAACAGCAAGTTTCCTTTGATACAGTGATTTATAAGACATGGTTGATGAAGTTTACATGGCAAAGTCACAAAGATACCTGACTTCTGATTTCATGAGAAATTATAAATAATAACAACACAGCAGTTGTCAGAGATCTACACTTATCCTCAGTTGTTGAGATCACTTTAAAAAAAAGAACACAACAAAAAAGCCACAAAACCCCAATTTCAATGAAATTACCAAATACACTTTCAATTTCTATTAAAAAGCTTATCCTGAATAATTCAGACCTTTATTACCTTTCATAATACCATGAATTCTATGACAAGTTAATTATGACAAATTGAACTCAAAACAAATTTTTCTTCTTTCCTCTTTGTAAGGAAAAAAAAATAATTGTATGACTCCCTCAGTGATGGTCATATGTTCATATCTTACCATATATGTGAAAAATTCCCTTTGACTTGCTTCATTAACTTGGAAATGGTTTCTTTTTTTTGAGAACTTAGTCATCAGATACAAGTAAGTCTTCTGCTCCTTCTCAGTCAAACAAGAGGTAAATGGGTAGGGGAGTCTGGGTTCTGGGAGAGGATGGTCATCAGCTGGGCTTTTAGCCTCCACCTCAAGTGACTCTGCAGCCTGCAGGCTACAAGCCTGTTTGTTTTCTGAAGAGTTTGCCAATGCCTCTGCATTTTTCTTTGCCTCTCTGAAAAAGAAGTAACAAATGGACGAATTTGCAGCTTTCACATAAATACCAATATTAGTCAGAAACAAGGAAGGCAGCTGTGCAAGCCTGAACTGCTCTGAGAGACACTGCTGTTCCAATTCCCATCTGTGCCAATGGACTCTTCTTGTTCTGAAACTTCACCTGTACAATCAGACTAACCCTTAGTGCCAGCAGCAGGTCTGCAACTGCTTTAAAAACAAACAAACAAAAAAGGTGGGGTTTTCATTTTTTAAAAAAACCCAAAATGGTGTTAACAAGCTAAATATGAAACACATTCTTTGTTCTGGAAACACACATTATTAATGAAAGGATAAAGAATCTCCACATTTCATCAGTCACTGATGGCCACTGTCAGTTCTGATAGCAAAGGAGAAAGATTTAACTAGAAAAAGCCTTTCCTTCAATGCAGAAGAAGGAAATCAAAATTACATCATTGTAACAATAGAAATTCTAGACTTCAGTGAAGAAATTCTCACAGCATACACAAATCAAGCATTTAATTTTCTACTCTAAACAATGCTGGAATCAGTCACCAAAAATAACAGTAGACTTGGGCAAGGGGCATAGCTGTTCTAACAACAATAAAGCAGTAACATAAAGCTTGTTCTTAAAGCAGCTCCAGTAAACAAAGGCCAACCAGCCTAGCCCTGGTCTATTTAAAATAATTTTACTTAAGAGAGAAAATATTTAAGGCTAACAAAATGAACATTGACTGCTGATCTTGGAAAAAGCATATTTTTAAGAAACTACTTCAGCAGTAGAAAACATCTCAAGTGTCATTCAAACCCAGCAGTATCACGTCCACAGTTCTTAATAACACTTCACAGCTGTCTCTCTAAATATGAGAATGTGTCCATCCTTGTGGCACAAACTGGCAAATTTAATTAAGCTGTAGCAGCAACAAGATGCTGACTCAGATATGCCAGTGTAAGAACATCAAGAAATTCTAGCAGCTTAAATTGGCTATATTCAGCACTGAATGAAATGGCAGCACATCAAGATCATTTCACTATGCACTGCTGTCACAGTCTTCATTGGGGTGCAAACCAAAATAATCTGACAGAGATTTTCTGTCCATATTTACAGCATTATACCTCATTTGAGCTGACAGCTTAAATTTTTCCCCTTCATTTTATCAGCAACCCGCTTTCACTGCTTCTGCACCAACAGAACATACACTTTTGTAAATATCTATGAGAAACTCCCCAAAATTAACAAATTTCCTCCAGCTTTTACTTCCACACTTGCTTCAACAGGTGTCATTTCTCTTCCTCTTGACTTTGGTCACTCTACCCAGCTCCATCCATTTCTGATTTTTACCAGGTGCCACCTCTCTGGCTTTTGGCTGCAAACCCACTGGAACCACACACAGCTGGCCACAATCCCCACTCCTGAGTGTCCACTCCAGCAACCCTCCCAAGGAAGAATCCCACAGCAGTTTCAGATGTGCCAGGAACAAGCTGTGAGGCTGTGCTGGTATCTTGCCAATTCAGGGAAAGCTGCTCCAACCAATAGGTATGAACCAGAACAACCTGCGGGATGAAGCCATGTGTGTAACAGACAGCCCCCTCACACTGTCAGTTCATAAAAACACAGTCATTCCCCTCTTGAACAAACTATTTCCCCTCATGCTGAACTCCCCACTGGCATGGTTTCCCATCCACATTCCTCCCTGTGTGAGGGTTCATGCACCAGGCAGCACGTTCACCTCCCTTATCAGCTTTGTAACTTCTTAAACCAAGAGGCTAAATACACTCTTCCAAATGCTGAGATCCAGCAGCACGAGCCACACTTCTCACTATGTGAAAGCAATGCTATTCTACTTCCTCAACCTAAGAGAATAAGAAAATGACACCAAAAGTGCAAAAACAACACTACCTGTACCACCTGTGTTCACACAGCTTCATTTCCCAGAGCAAAGGACTCAAAACCTGGACTCCTCCTGCTTTCTGAGGTTCCACAACACACAAAGCACAGGCCAACAGCTGTAACAAATCCTTGTGTGCCACACAACATGCAGCTTTCCCCAAAACAGCATGGGGATGTATCCATGGCATGATAACAAAGAGCACAAAATGATAAAATAATATACCTGTTTGATAAATGCCAGAGTTCAGAGAGACTCAGAGACAAGGAATGTTTTTCATAAAGTTCATGGGAGAAAAATACTTCTTGGCCATTTTTTGGTGGAATATCCCTAATAAAAGAAAATTTTAAAATAAATATACAGCAAAACAAAGAAAAATTAAAGGCCACCTCTGTCCTGAGAAACAAAAACCAAGAATTATATATGAAAAAAAGAGGCCACCTACACAGTGGTTCCAGATTTCCTTTTCATAGAAGTTACTTTGTACTAATGCCTTATGGTTTTTTCATAGTAAAAGTATATATTCTGAACAGTACAAAAGAATTTCATTATTACAAGACATCAATTCTAGGTATGGTGAAATTCTGAGGAGTTTCACACTTTCACAGGTTCATGAATCAAAAACAAACTTTGGGCTGAAATCGCAGGAACTTTTGAGAAAAATACACCAGTTTTAGAGCTTTTCAGAAAAGCTTTGTTCTTGTCTTGTACGCTGATCTGATTTCTACATTGCCTTTTCATTTTTCCTAATAGAGCCGTTCAAGCGAATAGGGTTTATACAATCCCAACCTCGCTAACTACTGTGAAAGGCACGAGCAAGGATTTTATTTACGTTTTACCTCACAAACTACAATTCCAACAAACCTCGCCTCTTTAAAGAGCCGAATTACGTATTGGCAGAGCTTTTCGTATCAAAAACATGATCAAGGTCCCTGCCTAGAATCCCCGCCGTGGCTCTCTGTGCCCTCACAGCCCGGCGCTGCCGCGGCACCGTCCGCGCTCCGCCCGCTCCCACGGCGGGAGCCACAGGAAATGGCGCACGCCCCCTCGGGGCGGCGTCCGGCGGTGCGGGAGCCGAGTCCACCCCGCGGTGCGTTCTGCTCCCGGCGGGGCAGCGCGGAGCTGTGGCCGCCGCCCACGCCTCAGGCGCGCCCGGCCAGGCCGCTCAAGAAGAGGGAGACGCGCTCACCATGTCAGCGGCGGCCCCGCGGCCGCCATCTTGACACCACCCTCAGGGCAGCAACTTCGCTGGTCCTCATCCCGCCGCCGTGCGAGCCCGCCTCAGGACACTGGCCAATCAGCGCCCGGCGCATGCGTCAGGTGTTCTGAGCCAGCCAATAGGGACACGGGCTCGAGCAGCGCCTCAGAGTGTGGCCGCCATTTTGTGGCGGGCGGGGCGGATGATGGCGTGGGGTTGTACTGTGCGTGCTCGCAGGCGTGGCCTGGGCAGAAGGTGGATGCCATGGGCGGCACATCCCGCCCCTTCCCGCGTGTTTCAGAGGTGGGGCTCTGGGCAGAGGGTGGGTGTCCCGGGTGGCTCCTCCCGCTCCGGGTGTGCAGGGCCGGGGGCACCGCCTGTCTCTGAGGGGTTGGAGGCGCGTGAGGGCTGAGGTGCCCGTAGAGGACGCTGTGTTCAGCAGCTTCCTTCCTCTCTTAGGCGTTCAATTTCCCTGGCTCACTTCTCGTGAGCAGCGCCGCAAAATCTTTTAAAATTGATGGGCAGGCACATTTTACCAGTGTGGTAATATGTGGAATTCGGGTATTCTCACAACCCATAGGTCTGGTGATGGAAACTCATTTACTTGTGGTGTTACAAGAAAAGGTGATGTCGGTCACTGCCCTAAAGATGGGGGGGGGGGGGGGGGGGGGGCGTGAGGGGAGGGGG